TGCTTCCCACAGTTGTGTCAAGTTGGCTGGTTGTCTTTTGGCTGGTGGACCATTCTTGATACACACGGGTAACTGTTGAGTGTGAAAACGCAGTAGCATTACAGTTCTTGACACACTCAAACCGGGGTGCCTGGCACCTACTACCACACCCCATTCAAAGGCACTTAAATATTTTGTCTTGCCCATTCACCATCTGAATGGCACACATACACAATCTATGTCTCAAGGCCTAAAAAAACGTATTTAACCGGTCTCCTCCCCTTCATCTACACTGATTGAAGTGGATTTAACAGGTGACATCAATAAGGGATCATAGCTTTCACCTGGATTTACCTGGTCAGTCTATGTCATGGAAAGATCAGTTTATTAGGTACTCCCATCGAGTACCAGGTCAGACCCCCCGTTGCCTCCAGAACGGCCTGAATTCTTCGGGGCATTCTAAAAGGTGTAAGAAACGTTTCACAGGGATGTTGTTCCATGATGACGCGATGGCATCTCGCAGTTGCTGCAGATTGGACGGCGGTACATTCATGCTGCGAACAGCCCGTTCCATTTCATCCCAAGGATGCTCTATTGGGTTGAGGTCTGGGGAATGCTCAGGCCACTCAAGTTAACTGAACTCGTCATGTTCCAGGCAATGTTTCTCCACTCCTCAATTGTCCAGTGTTCGTGATCACGTGCCCACTTGAGCCTCTTCTTCTTGTTTTTAGGAGTGATAGGAGTGGAACCTGGTGTAGTCGTCTGCTGCAATAGCCCATCCGTGACCAGGATCGACCAGTTGTGCATTCCGAGATGCCGTTCTGCACACCACTGTTGTACTGCGTCATTATTTGTCTGTTTGTAGCCTACCTGTTAGCTTGCACGATTCCTGTCATTCTCCTTCGACCTCCCTCATCAACAAGCTGTTTTCAACCCCAGGACTGTCGCTGACTGGATTTATTTTGCTTGTCGCACCATTCTCGGTAAACCCTAGACACTGTCGTGCGTGAAAAGCCCAGTGTGTGAAAAGCCCGGCTGCTGTTTCTTAGATACTGGATCCGGAGTGCCTGGCACTGATGATCATACAACGCTCAGTCGCATAGGTCACTCGTTTAGCCCATTCTAATGTTCAATTAAACAGTAACTGAATGCCTCGATATCTGATTTATATAGCAAGCCATGGCCACGTGACTCACTGTCTGTAGGAGCGATCCTTTTTCGTGAACGGGTGGTGTACCTAATAAACGGAGTAAGTGAATATATATATATAAATAAACATTAGATTAGGATTGTGCCAAGCAGTATCAAAATGCTCTTACCGTGGACTGTGGTTCTCTTTGTAGTAGCTGCAGTAGCCACAGTAGTGGTGGTAGTAGGGGGCTTTGTTGTAGTCAGAAGGGCTATAAAGACATGACATATACTGTTGAAGTCAGAAGTTTACATACACTTAGGTTGGAGTCATTAAAACTTGTTTTTCAACCACTGCACAAATTTCTTGTTAACAAACTATAGTTTTGTTAAGTCGGTTAGGACATCTACTTTGTGCATGACACAAGTGATTTTTCCAACAATTGTTGACAGACAGATTATTTCACTTATAATTCACTGTATCACAATTCCAGTGGGTCAGAAGTTTACATACACTAAGTTGACTGTGCCTTTAAACAGCTTGGAAAATTCCAGAAAATGATGTCATGGCTTTAGAAGCTTCTGATAGGCTAATTGATATCATTTGAGTCAATTGGAGGTGTACCTGTGGATGTATTTCAAGGCCTACCTTCAAACTCAGTGCCTCTTTCCTTGACATCATGGGACCACGCAGCCGTCATACCGCTCAGGAAGGAGACGCGTTCTGTCTCCTAGAGATGAACGTATTTTGGTGCGAAAAGTGCAAATCAATCCCAGAACAGCAGCAAAGGACCTTGTGAAGATGCTGGAGGAAACAGGTACAAAAGTATCTATATCCACAGTAAAACAAGTCCTATATCGACATAACCTGAAAGGCCGCTCAGCAAGGAAGAGGCCACTGCTCCAAAACCACCATAAAAAAGCCAGACTACGGTTTGCAACTGCACATGGGGACAAAGATCGTACTTTTTGGGGAAATGTTCTCTGGTCTGATGAAACAAAAATATAACTGTTTGGCCATAATGACCATCGTTATGTTTGGAGGAAAAAGGGGGCAGCTTGCAAGTCGAAGACCACCATCCCAACCCTGAAGCACGGGGGTGGCAGCATCATGCTGTGGGGGTGCTTTGCTACAGGAGGGACTGGTGCACTTCACAAAATAGATGGCATCATGAGGAAGGAAAATTATGTGGATATATTGAAGCAACATCTCAAGACATCAGTCAGGCAGTTAAAGCTTGGTCGCAAATGGTTCTTCCAAATGGACAACGACCCCAAGCATACTTCCAGAGTTGTGGCAAAATGGCTTAAGGGCAACAAAGTCAAGGTATTGGAGTGGCCATCACAAAGCCCTGACCTCAATCCTATAGAACTGAACTGAAAATGCGTGTGCGAGCAAGGAGGCCTATAATCCTGACTCAGTTACATCAGCTCTGTCAGGAGGAATGGGCCAAAATTCACCCAACTTATTGTGGGAAGCTTGTGGAAGGCTTCCCGAAATGTTTGACCCAAGTTAAACAATTTAAAGGCAACGCTACCAAATACTAATTGAGTGTATGTAAACTTCTGACCCACTGGGAATGTGATTAAAGAAATAATAGCTGAAATAAATAATTCTCTACTATTATTCTGACATTTCACATTCTTAAAATAAAGTGGTGATCCTACTTGACCTTAAACAGGGAATTTTTACTAGGATTAAATGTCAGGAATTGTGAAAAACTGAGTTTAAATGTATTTGGCTAAGGTGTATGTAAACTTCCGACTTCAACTGTAATTAGGCCATTAACTATTCTTGTCCGGTCTGTCACAACACTTTACTGTTGTGATCCCTCAAATGCTTTAGTCAGCCAGTGTGGTCTGAGGAGTAGAATGGTGTTGGACCGGATAGCTAGTCAATCACTCATAACATGTAAAAAGGGAAAATAAATACTTGAGGTTGCTATGCACAGGCATGTATATGGTGAAAAATAACAATTAGCGTGAACATTAACACACATACCATATTTTATTATCAAAAAGGCCTCAATGTGTTTATATGTTGGTCAACCTGGCGCCGACGAAGATGGCGGCCTCACGACTAGCTACATGCATTTCGCTACACCCGCTATAACATCTGCTAAACACGTGTATGTGACAAATAACATTTGATTTGATGAGTTGAGGTCAATTCCACTAAAAAAGCCAGTTTGCTGACACATTGGTATTCTGGTCCTAAATACCAAATGATGCACAAAATAGCTGACCTAAAACAAAGTCTAAAGTGTGTTAAATAACAAACACTGAAACCAGTCTTACCTTTGCATTGTCGTGACATGACTTACTTTAATGTATGACTGTTATTTATCGAATCACCTAACTATGTTTAATTGTCACTCGATTAAATTAATCATGTAACAATTAACTCATTAGGAATTTGGGGCACCACGGAAGAAGTTGTTTAACGAGTTACCATCTCCCGAATTAAACTCTTAGAAGATATATATGTTATATATCGATAACACTCACTAATTAAATAATTACCACTTATCAGTCTCATTCTGAACGTCGCATAATCATTGAACCTGCAAGAACCCTAACCTTATTGATGAATCAGCAATACACAAATTGGCTTAATTATTTATTGACTAACTAAATAAATAATAACACAATACAAAACACACACACATAGGTTATTGATTACTAACGTAATACAATGAAAACAGGTCCCTAGTGGACTGGACTAACATTAGCATGAATGCTTGGGTAGAAGGAGGGTCAGAGTGGAAGGGAGAGAGAGATTCAAACTATCGTGGTTACTTTGGAAACTACGCTCACGGAAATACAAACGCTTAAAACCATACTAAACGCTCATTCGGATTAGAAATGCAACATGTATTTCCGTGTAGCTGTCCTCGAAAGTTGAGTTGATGATGTAGAACTCTGGTTTGCCCACCAGAGATCCCAATGTCCTTGGTAGAGTTTTTGGTCGTAGTAGTGGTTAGAATGGATACTTCAGATTTACCAGCGGTTGTCTGAGAGGGATTGTCCTTCCCAAATCGTGTCTATAGTGAAAGTTCTCTAGACGACTATACATGCCAGCTGCAGACTGAGATGATAAGGTCTAGTGCATTATATTCTTCTTCACCTCGTGAGAGTTTGAGTTTCTCCATTTCAAACATGTGGACTAACGTCTCACGTTTTCTGGTCTTTCTGGTCTAACCATTTGTAACGTTTAGCTCACGCTTCACGTCTGCTGGTCTTGTAGAGTGTCAACCGTGGGGCTTCCTTGTCTGAGGTGAATTTCGTCACAAGGCTTTTTATGCACTCGGGGTAAAAGGGGAGTTCCATCATGTTTGTGCTCATCTGGGCGTGGCCACTGACTGAGAACAAATCAATATGGAAAACAATCATCTCATCTAGAATGCTAAAATCACATTGTTATCTTCACAAAAGTATTATTATACTTAATCATTCGTTATATACAACAATTAGATGCAAATCTCATCAATGGGAAGTGTACACCACCAGAGATACAGTTATGTTGTTCCACCGTCCTTAATGACATCACAACATAGTAACACATTTGACATGACTGTTCTTTAAGTCCCCACTAACCATTTCCCACATTCTTTTAAGTAGGAATATTGTTTCATTATCCACTTTTGGATGTTGGAGTCTTAGCGGGAAGACTTCCTTTGTCTCACAGGGAAATTCCCTCTCCCAATACTGCATGGCACGGAAAATAAAGTTTCTGCAAGGAAATTACGACCGGTCATAAAACTGGCCCCCAGGAAAGGGGGTGTTCAAACCTTTGGCCATGAGGGCAAGTCATGGGCAAACCAGCCTTCTATTTCACAGGTCAGACTGGCTTGTCCCTCCATCTCATATCCAGCGTTGCATTTATATGTCACAAAAGACTTGTACGTATAGGGGGGACGGCCTTCAATCCGAAACGCCATTCTCAACAACAGGAGGAAGACATGAGACCACTGCAGACATAAACAAAGAGAGATGTCATTAGGTACTGTTTTGAGGTGAACAATGTGACCCAAGTATATTATTTATTGGTTTTAGACTACTTGAAGCAATACACACAATGTTGTTATAACCACCCCTTTATGAATCCTGCAACTAATCAATATATATCAAATAAATAGGGTAGATTCTATTGTAACCCACTTCCTCTGAGCTCAATGTTGCATCATGGTTTTCAGAATAGGCCTACACATTATCCATGTTTTAGACTGCTTGCTTAGCCTGTTTCATGCACATCTGTGCTTATGTTCTATTTTATTAGGCTAGATACTGTGATATTTACACATTTATCTTTCAGAGGAGGTCATCTGGAACATGCTCACGATTGTGTGGTGGAGGAAAAAAGTGGAGCCCATATAGATTTGATCAGTGTAAGCCACGTGTCAAACTCATTCACTGGAGGGCCGAATGTCTGCGGGTTTTCGCTCCGCCCTTGTACTTGATTGATGAATTAAGATCACTAATTAGTAAGGAACTCCTCTCACCTGGTTGTCTAGGTCTTAATTGAAAGGAAAAAACAAAAACCAGCAGACTCTAGGCCCTCCATGGATTGACTTTGACACCCCTGTTGTAAGCAGTTCATGTGAGCAGTTCTATATTTTGTTAACAACCATACAGAATGGAATTCTCCATTCTCAGAGCAGGTTATGGATTTAGTTCCAACCAGAGTGTAATCCTTCTCACAGCCATATTGCACAACATCTCCATAGTTATACATCTCTTCAGGTTGGACAACAGGCCCACCGTTGACAATGGTGGGGGGCTTTCCACACTTCACCACTGCAGATTAGAACACAACAGCAGTTATGATCAGTTATGAAGAGTTTTGATTTAGGCACAAGCACAGAACTGTTAAAGTTATTGTTATTTTCACTTGACATGCTCCTTCAGATGACTAACCTTCACATAAAGGAACTCTGCCATCCCAGCCTCCGTCCATACAGGTCCTTACATCGCTGCCCACAAGCATATAGCTGAAAAAGAGAAAGATTAGACAATATGAGACAGTATTTGGAGCTTTGGTTTTAGGACAACAAACACGTTTTGTTTAACTTTTAGGGAGTGTAAGTTTGATGAAGGCCTATTTGGAAATCACTGACCCAGTGTTACAGGTAGCAACAACCTTGTCACCAAACAAGATCCCCTCAGAGAGATCAAAATGGCCGTTCTTCCCTTCTCCTGGGGAGCCACACGACTTCCCTGAAACAACCACAGAGAAAACCAGTCAGACTTTCAAAATGACAGAGTGGCAAAGAGTTGAATGTTAGCACAAAACAGGTCTGAATTCCAGGCTAGTATTTCAATAATATCTATTGATGGGCAATGAATATAGCAAGTTGCGAGTGGGTAACTAAAAACTGAAAACATTTACATGAATATGGCGTAACTTTTCAGAACAAAATTAGACTATTATATTACTTTTGCATGTCAGTTTCACTTCACACGCCAGCAGTACAGGTGACTCATCGAGACCGTCCAGCACTGGCATATCCAATTGCACAATGAAAATTGACTTTTGCTCTGTCTACAAATGTCTCATGAGTGATTAAGGCATCTGACAAAACCATGTTTGGCCCTCCTATGGGTTTGGTGCAGTTTTGAGCTGAAAGAGGTGGAGACAAAATGGAGTTAATGTTAATGACCAAGGTGAACAAATACAGGAGACAACACCGTCAATTCAACCCATAAACTGTAGTAGTGTAAGCTTCACACCACCGTCTGTAGACAGAGATGCAAAGAAATAGGATTCTGATTCTATATAGATATGACTTGAATAGTGAGAAACATCAAGGCCAGCTGGACCATCCATATCTTCAAGGACCAACAACAGACAGAGGGCTGCATGATATCTTATTTTCCCGTAACAAGCAGCAGCACACGGTTTCCTGGATTGGTTGGTTTGAGTTTGAGTTTGAGTTTATTTTTACAGGGACAGTGCACATTAATCAACGTTTCAGTAAAAGTGCCGGTTTTAGCCAGCCGGCTAATTTTCAACCGCAGTCCCTGGGCAGGTTATTAAAAACAATTACAATATGGACAATAACAACATAGAACAAGACATAGCATACAGACATAGCAACATAGGACAAGCAAGACGTAGCATACAGACCGAGCAACATAGAACAAAAAGCAGCAAGACAAAATTCATAAAAGCAACAAAATGTTTCCACACCTCACAAGTTACAGACAACAGACATGGAAAGCGGCAACACACAGCTAGGGACCATGTTCACAACTCTGATTGACCTTTAGCCATGTCTTCAAGCATTTTGTGAAAGTGTGATATGTGGTGCATTTGTGTGTGTCTGATGGCAGTGTATTCCAGACATGGGAAGCTCTCACAGAAAAAGCAGATTTACTAAAGGTGCTTTTCCTTAGGGGAACTACACAGTCACCTCTCATGGCAGACCTTGTGGATCTGCTGCCATATGTTTGAGTTTTCTGTTTAACAAAAATACTGAGTGGAGGGGGAGCCAAGCCATTTAGGATCTTGAATACAAGACATGCATCGGTGTATTGCACAAGATTTTCCCAACTCAGGAGCTCATGCTTTCTAAGGATGTGACAGTGATGTTTGCTGTACTGTAACATTTTGCCAGATCGCCACCTAAGCAGATTAACTTCTCTTAATATCCACTTGCCGTAATCACGCTGTTGAGAAGGAGAACACACACTGTCAACAATCTGTGAGTTAGTGTACCCATATGGATACAATACATGGCCAATGTTGGTCAAACATCTCATTCCAAAATCATGGGCCCTAATACGGAGTTGGTCCCCCCTTTGCTGCTATAAAAGCCTCCACTCTTCTGGGAAGGCTTTCCACTGGATGTTGGTACATTTCTGTGGGGACTTGCTTCCATTCAGCCACAATAGTATTAGTGAGGTTGGGCACTGATGTTGGGCGATTAGGCCTGGCTCGCAGTCGGCGTTCCAATTCATCCCAAAGGTGTTCAATGGGGTTGACGTCAGGGCTCTGTGCAGGCCAGTCAAGTTCTTCCACACCGATCTCGACAAACCATTTCTGTATGGACATCGCTTTGTGCACGGGGGCATTGTCATGCTGAAACAGGAAAGGGCCTTCCCCAAACTGTTACCACAAAGTTGGAAGCACAGAATCGTCTACAATGTCATTGTATGCTGTAGCATTAAGATTTCCCTTGACTGGAACTAATGGGCCTAGCACAAACCCTGAAAAACAGCCCCAGACCATTATTCCTCCTCCACCAAACTTTACAGTTGGCACTGTGCATTCGGGCAGGTAGCGTTCTCCTGACATCCGCCAAACCCAGATTCGTCCGTCGGACTGCCAGATGGTGAAGCGTGATTCATCACTCCAGAGAACGTGTTTCCACTTACCCCAGAGTCCAATGGCAGCGAGCTTTACACCACTTCAGCCAACGCGTTGCATAGCGCATGTTGATCTTAGGCTTGTGTGCGGCTGCTCGGCCATGGAAACCCATTTCATTAAGTTCCCGACGAACAGTTATTGTGCTGACGTTGCTTCCAGAGGCAGTTTGGAACTCAGTAGTGAGTGTTGTAACCGAGGACAGACGATTTTTCCCGCTATGCGCTTCAGTACTCTGCGGTCCCATTCTGCGAGCTTGTGTAGCCTACCACTTCGTGGCTGAGCAGTTGTTGCTCCTAGACGTTTCCACTTCACAATAACAGCACTTACAGTTGACCGGGGCAGCTCTAGCAGGGCAGAAATTTGACAAACTGACTTGTTGGAAAGGTGACATCCTATGACTGTGCCACGTTGAATGTCACGGAGCTCTTCAGTTCGGGCCATTACACTGACAATGTTAACTATGGAGATTGCATGGCGGTGTGCTCGATTTTATACACCTGTCAGCAATGGGTGTGGCTGAAATAGCCGAATCCACTAATTTGTCTACATACAGTGCCTTCGGAAAGTATTCAGACCCCTTCCCTTTTTCCATATTTTGTTACGTTACAGCCTTATTATAAAATGGATAAAATAAAATAAAATGCTCAATAATCTACACACAATACCCCATAATGACAAAGTGAAAACAGGTTTTTTGAAATGTTGACACTTTTATTAAAAATTTAAAACAGAAATACCTTCTTTACATAAGTATTCAGACCCTTTGCTATGAGACTCGAAATTGAGCTCAGGTGCATCCTGTTTCCATTGATCATCCTTGAGATGTTTCTAAAACTTGGAGTCCACTTGTGGGAAATTCAATTGATTGGACTTGATTTGGAAAGGCACACACCTGTCTATATAAGGTCCCACAATTGACAGTGCATGTCATAACAAAAACCAAGCCATGAGGTCGAAGGAATTGTCCGTAGAGCTCTGAGACAGGATTGTGTCGAGGCACAGATCTGGGGAAGGGTACAAAAACATTTCTGCAGCATTGAAGGTCCTCAAGAACACAGTGGCCTCCATCATTCTTAAATGGAAGAAGTTTGGAACCACCAAGACTCTTCCTAGAGCTGGCCGCCCGGCCAAACTGAGCAATCGGGGGAGAAGGGCCTTGGTCAGGGAGGTGACCAAGAACCTTATGGTCACTCTGACAGAGCTCCAGAGTTCCTCTGTGGAGATGGGAGAACCTTCCAGAAGGAAAACCCTCTCTGCAGCACTCCACCAAATCAGGCCTTTATGGTAGAGTGGCCAGACGGAAGTCACTCCTCAGTAAAAAGCACATGACAGCCAGCTTGGAGTTTGCCAAAAGGCACCTAAAGACTCTCAGACCATGAGAAACAAGATTCTCTGGTCTGATGAAACCAAGATTGAACTCTTTGGTCTGAATGCTAAGCATGACATCTGGAGGAAACCTGGCACCATCCCTACGGTGGTGGCAGAATCATGCTGTGGGGATGTTTTTCAGCGTTAGTGACTAGGAGACTAGTCAGGATCGAGGCAAAGATGAACGGAGCAAAGTACTGAGAGATCCTTGATGAAAACCTGCTCCAGAGCGCTCAGGACCTCCGACTGGGGCGAAGGTTCACCTTCCAACAGGACAACGACCCTAAGCACACAGCCAAGAAAACGCGGGAGTGGCTTCGGGACAAGTCTCTGAATGTCCTTGAGTAGCCCAGCCAGAGCCCAGACTTAAACCTGATCGAACATCTCTGGAGAGACCTGAAAATAGCTGTGCAGCAACGCTCCCCATTGTCATGACTTGCCCTCATGGGTTAAGGTTCAATCATACTGGCTAGGCAATGGTTTGAACACCCCCTTTCCTGGGGGCCAGTTTTATTACCGGTCGTAAATACCGTGCAGACTTTCTCTTCCTTGCCATGAAGTATTGGGAGAAAGGACCCCTTTGTTAACAAAGGAATTCTTCCCGCCAAGACTCCAACATCCAAAAGTGGATAATGAAACAATATTCCTACTTAAAAGAATGTGGAAAATGGTTGGTGGGGACTTAAAGAACAATCATGTCAAATTCGTTACTATGTTGTGATGTCATTAAAGACAGTGGAACAACATAACTGTATCTCTGTTAACATCACTTAACATAACATCACTTCCCAGTTATGAGGTTTGCATCTAATTATTGAATAGAACAAATGATTAAGTATAATAATACTTTTGTGAAGATAACAATGTGATTTTAGCATTCTAGATGAGATGATTGTTTTCCATATTGATTTGTTCTCAGTCAGTGGCCACGCCCAGATGAGCACAAACATGATGGAACGCCCCTTTTACCCCGAGTGCATAAAAAGCCTTGTGACGAAATTCACCTCAGACCAGCAGACATGAAGCGTGAGCTAAACATTGCAAATGGTTGAATTTCTACCAGACCAGGAAGCCCACGGCTTAAAATGGTTGACACTCTACAAGACCACCAGATGTGAAGCATGAGCTAAATGTTGCAAATGGTTTAAAACTACAACTCCATTACCAAAGGAAGACCAAGCATACTACGGTATAAGCCGGATATTGCAAATGGTTGAATTTCTACAAGACCAAGAAGCGTGAAGCTGAAGCTACACGTTACAAAATGGTTAGATCAGAAAGACCAGAAAACGTGAGACGTTAGTCCAAACGTTTGAAATTAGAAACTCTGAATCTCTCAACCTCTACACGAGGTGAAGAAGAAGACAATGCACTAGACCTTATCTCAGTCTACAGCTGGCATGTATAATCGTCTAGAGAACTTTCACTATAGACACGAGAGGAGAGGACTATCCCTCTCAGACAACCGCTGGTACATCTGAAGTATCCATCTAACCACTACTACGACCAGAAACTCTACCATGGACATTGAGATCTCTGGTGGGCAAACCAGAGTCCTACATCATCAACTCAACTATTGAGGACAGCTACACGTAAATAAATGTTGCATTTCTAATCCGAATGAGCGTAGTTTCCAAAGTAACCACGATAGTTTGAATCTCTCTCTCCCTTCCACCACACCCGTCGCTATGGGCGGGCCATAGGGCCCCTATGGCCGCCCCCAAAAATGCTTGTGCCCCACCACTTGAGGCACAGATCTCTTAAAAAAATTACTTTATTTTTATATTATAATAGTTGCTAATTTTGTGTTGCATTAATGTTGCATTCTTTATCATTAAAACATTAAAAATATAAAGAAACAATGGTGTGATTTTGTTTGATGGGTATCTACACTGCAACAGCCTATCACGGCCTTAATAAAAAGAACGTTAGGCTACGTACGTGACGTAGCCTACGTCAGTGTAGCCGCTCAACAGTTACCGCGCATTTTTGAAAGCTGGATGAGTTTTCGCCGGCTTACTCGCTTCAGTTCGTCATGGATATCCGTAAGTGGTTGAAAAGCCCACCAACAGTCTTCTCTGCCAAATTGGATACGACACAGACGCCTCCTGATGTTGTAGTTGGAGAAGGAGACCCTGGACGACAGTCTGAGCCTGATGCTAGTAGCTCCGTGGAGTCCGACCCTGGGCCTGGCAGGACCTGCAGGTCAAGTGCAACCGCGACTGTGGCAGCATTTGGGCCACAACTGCCTGTTGAATCAGTGTGAGTGACCTCGGCATGGACAAACCCAAACAGGTTGTGTTGAGGAAATATCCAGTCAAAATGTTTGGTTTTTCTCTAGCTGGTATTTGAACAGGGACTGGCTTGAGTACTCGGTGGAAAAGGACTCCGCATTTTGTTATGCCTGCAGGAAATTCAAATCTGTATCATCGGACGCGACCTTCTCCATTAAGGGATTTCATGATTGGAAACATGCAATTGGAACAGGCAAGGGCTTAAATAAGCATGCAGCTTCAAAATAACATTTAGCCTGTGAAGCAATGTGGAGAGATTCAGAAAAAAGTAGAGACAGGAAAAGAGATTTCCACTCTCTTAAATTCAGAGCAACAGGCTCGCAACAGATACTACATGTAATTGATATGCTGGAGTTTTTAGTGGTGAATCAATTGCTGTTATGTGGAGATAATGCTGGTTTTGCCAGTGTGCTAGATGATAATAGCTCAATGGGGCTGTTTTTGTCTCTCTTTGAGTACACCATGCGCAAAGATCCCGAACTGACACGGTTTACAAAAACAATCCCACAGAATGCACGCTATACCAGCCCACAGATACAAAACAAGATTATCGAAATGATGAGCAAACTCGTGACAGAGGAGATAGTGAGACAAGTCGGCGATAGCTGGTATTCAATTAAAGTGGATGGCACACGGGATCCTTTAGGCCAAGAAAACATATCTGTAGTTGTGCGTTTTGTTGACAAAAACTATGGTCTGTGTGAGCGCCTCTTGGTAATGGCCACATCTAAGAAAGGTGATGCAGAGGCTCTGACAGGTGTCATCATTGATGAGCTCACCAGCGCCGGACTCAGCACGGACAAAATCCTGAGTCAAGTTTATGATGGCGCATCACTCATGTCTGGCAGGCATGGTGGTGTGCAGAAATTGCTCCAAAACAAGCTGGATCGTAACATGCCATATATTCACTGCTTTAATCACCAACTTCATCTGGTTGTGATTCATGCCATGTCCAGTGAAGCAGCTGTCGATGATTTTTTTGGAGTATGCAACATACTGTACAACTTCATCAGGAAGCCAACCATGGCTATTCTGTACAAAGGCGATACCCTGAAACGTCTCTTGGACCAGAGATGGACTGGCCACTTGACAACGGTCAAAGTTGTGGTGAAGAGTTTTCACGACATCTCCACATTACTGACCGAGGTGGAAAACACACGAGGCCTTGGAGCGGAGGTGCGCGTCGAGGCTACGGGGCTGCTTCGTGCCATTACGCAGCGCAGTTTTCTTTTCATTGCGCACCTTGTTATGAAACTGTTGTCACTTTTCGAGCCGCCTAACAGACTACTACAGGCCGAAGATATGGACTTGTTCACTGCGGTGGCACTTGTGAACAGCGCTTCTGACTGCGTGAAGACACTGCGCACAGAAAACGAGTTTTCTGCACTGTGGGATCTCTGCGCTCCTCCAGCATCGGCCACCGAGGCTGTGCCGGTGACCGACCCTGGTCCAAGCAAGAGAAGACGCACAATTAATAAGAACCTCCGCGGATTTGCAGTTGAAGAAACAGTTGGTCAGCCACAAAGTGACATAGATGAAAAGACTGAGTTCATGATATTGTTTTACAGTGTTATCGATGTTGTGCAAGGAGAGATTAATGCGCGTTTTGGAGAGCGCAGTAGCGAGCTCATTGGCGCACTGGCTGCTTTGAACCCAGAGGCCGAGGATAATTTCCTGGACCCATCAAAGGTAACCCCTCTCCTGGTATTAGCTGGAACTGATGTGGTTGAATCTGAATATACTGTGGCTCGTGAGTTCCTGGTGAAGAAAATGACACCCCGGTTCCCCCCGAAGATGGAAAATGGACAATAGCCAACATCCTCAGCACATTCAACTGTGCACTCCAGGCTATGCCGACTGTTCTCACAGCCTACACACTTGCCCTAACTTTAGGAGCTTCCACAGCAATGTGTGAAAACTAATTTTCCACGCTCAAAAGCGTCTTCTCAGAGCATCGGCGCAGTATGCTGCACAGACGCAAGGCCCAGCTGATTCAGCTTGCTTTTGAAAAGGACCTCACTCACAAGTTTAAGTCCGAGTGGAAGGATACTTTGATGAGGAGGTTCTGCTTGTAGAAACGCCGCCTCCTGCTGTACTGACAGGAGGGACTGGAGAGAGGACAGTGCTGCCTACACTCAAGGTACCGGTAGGTTCAAAGTCTCTGTGTGTGTGTGTGTGTATATGCGTGTGTGTGTGTATGTGTCTCATGGCAATGCATATCCCTCTGTTGACTGCTTTAAAATGCAATGTTTGAGAGATGCTTCTGGTGTTACATCTAATATGTTGTATAGTCAAGTGTTTTATGGATATTCATAACATTACATAGAAGCAATGTGGTGTAGGCTATAGGCTACCTGTTCATATTGCTGTTGGTTATGTTTAATGTGATGATTACGTGCTGCGCAAATAGAGTATACGATTATTATAAATATACGTACTGTAGGCTAATAATAATTGTGCCCTGCCCTCCCATGCATTTCATATGCCCCCCTTAAGACTGAGGTCTGGCGACAGGTCTGCCTTCCACTCTGACCCTCCTTCTACCCAAGCATTCATGCTAATGTTAGTCCAGTCCACTAGGGACCTGTTTTCATTTCATAACGTTAGTAATCAATAACCTAGTTGTGTGTGTGTGTGTGTGTGTGTGTGTGTGTGTGTTTGTATTGTGTTATTATTTAGTTAGTTAGTAAATAAATAGTTAAGCCAATTTGTGTATTGCTGATTCATCAATAAGGTTAGGGTTCTTGCAGGTTCAAGGATTATGCGACGTTCAGAAGGAGACTGAAAGAGGTAATTATTTGATAAGTGTCTTATCGATATATAACATATATATCTTCTAAGAGTTTAATTTGGGAGATGGTAACTCGTTAAACAACTTCTTCCGTGGTGCCCCAAATTCCTAATGAGTTAATTGTTACATGATTAATTTAATTGAGTGACAATTAAACATAGTTAGGTGATTCGAAAAATAACACTCATACATTAAAGTAAGTAACGTCACGACATATTGGTGCCCCCGTGCGAGGAATCCAAACATATTGGAGCCCCCGTGCGAGGAATCTAAGATATAATGAGGCCTTACTGTTGAATTTAGTCTATATGAATTGTGCAGCACATTACGTTATACACCCAGGTTACGTTATACACCATTAGAGCCATAGGCAGGATTTGTTGAGGTGTGTGTGTTTCCATTTGAACAAGATACAAGAGTTTGCCTCCGGTGTTGTATATCTTACGAAAAGTCAGTGTGTAGAGTGAATTACTGAATGCTAAGAGCCAGGACATATTGGGCTGGCCGATTTAGGTATTCTCAGATATAGTCCCGTTGGGCCAAACGGGTACTATTTCTTCTGTCTCTCGCGTCTCAGGAGCCAGTTGACTCGGTCAGTATTAATTTCTAGAGCGAGGACATAGGGCCAGCAATGATAGAAATTTGGATAGATATATTCGTTGACCGGCCCGGAGTTGCTATCTATCTGCCTATTGTGCTTCGCAGAGGTGGGACAAAGTCATTGTTATGCAAGTCACAAGTAAGTCTCAAGTCTTTGCCCTCGAGTCCCGAGTCAAGTCGAGTCAAAGATGAGGCAAGTCCCAAGTCGAGTCAAAAGTCAAAGCCATCAAGTCTCAAGTCGAGTCCAAAGTCCTACCATTTTAGTTTCGAGTCATTTCAAGTCCTCTTACCACAGAAATAAAATGTATACAAATCATGTATGTCTGTAAGATTTGTATTTATTTAAACCTTTTTATACAATAACATTAATCAAATACAGCAAAAAACATAACATTTAATTTTCACAAAAAAAATGCTTGTATATGAACAGCATATTGCACTAGAACAATGCAGAGAGAGAGAGAGAGAGAGAGAGAGAGAGAGAGAGAGAGAGAGAGAGAGAGAGAGAGAGAGAGAGAGAGAGAGAGAAAATGGTTTACGGGGAAGGACAAACACCAAAGCTCTGGAAGTAAAAACAGTGTGGGAACCTGCACTGCAAATGAACAGATCTTACTCCATGTGAAACTCCTACCACAGGAGAGAGAGAGCTGTGTGGACAGGTGATGAGCAGAGAGTGAGTGTGTGTGCGCGCATGCGTGCTGTGGACAGGTGGAGGGAGGCCCCTATACTGCATTGCATTTGCAAAAGATCAAATTGGCCAAAAGTCTGTCAGTCATTTGTGCACGATGGGGACGCAGAATGATGCCACCATGGCTGAAAACTCGCTCCACTGGAGCACTAGAAGCAGGCACTGCCAAGACTCGGATGGCTACTTGAAAGAGTGAAGGAAGAGTCTTACTGTTCAGTGCCCAGAACAAAAGGGCATTCTGTCCTTCTGCCATGTCAATGTAGTGACTTAGCTGTACTGCTGGTGGGGTCCCAACATCCCTTTTCTGCCTCTTATGGTATGCAGCAAACAGCCCTTCTCCTTCCATGTCCTCTAGTTCTTCTTCAGCAGGCACCGGCACAGGCTGCTCTGTCTCTGCAGCATCTTGCAGGATCAATTCTAAAAATAAAAATAAAAACGTGTCACAACAGCAGAAACAAAAGAGCCCTTATTTCTGATGTTGATGATACTGTTCAAGACTGAAATTTTTTATTATTGTTAAAGTCAGATTAATATCACATTAGATCCTATATCAGATTAAGATCAAATTATTGTACGTTGCATTTAAGTTGCATTGCAAGTCAATAATATTTACCTTTAACTCGTTGTGCCACCTCTGCCTTGATGTCACGGTTGACCAGCACATGGGGCTCAATCCACAGCAGACAAAAGGCTGGATCCAAGGCAGCTGCTTTCAGGTAGACTGTGTCTGAAAAGGGGGCAGTGATCCCTTCTTGAGACTGGGCCATTTTTACATTAATGAAGATCCCAAGAAATCTTTTTTTTCAGGGATGCCTGCAGACCTCTGACCAGGCCACTCAGGAAACGAACTTGAGGCTTCAGCTTCTCAAGATGGTGATTGAGGGACAAGATGGATGGAACAACTGCACTGATTGTAATGACTTTCTCCCCCTGTGTCAAATCAGTTGCTTCTCCGAACGGTTTTAAGATGTCCACCAACTCCTTCAGCAGATTCCACTCTCGTGGTGTGAATGACAGTTCTTTATGCCCGGCCTTCTCAAGAACTGCGCAGAGCTTTTGCTGATCACAATGAAGGACTGCTTTTACCTGCCGCAGTGTGGAATTCCACCTCGTGCTCACTGCAGCAGGGATGCCTCTGTGCTCCCCAAATTCACCATCGAAGATGTCTTTAAACGTTGTGCTTGTGTGGAGCAGGGAGCTAAGTTTTGATAACTTGGAGAGAGAAGGACATGCCGCTTTTGTTTCTTTCAAACCGTCTCCCACAACCAGCTGCAATGTGTGTGCAAAACACTGCAGGCGCTGTTTCTTTGCCATAGCAGCATCGACGGTTTGCTGGTCTTCTTGGGTTAAGTCATGCCATAGCTCAGGATCATCAAGATTATCTCCAGCATCTTCATCTTCCTCCTGTTCGCTGGGGAAGCAGACTGTAAATGCCTTGCGCATGTTAGCAGCATTGTCACTAATTATATAGTCCAATTTAGCTTTGATGTTGTATTCATCACATATTGCCTCAAATTGGTCACAGATTCGCTCTGCTGTGTGAGAGCCTTTGAAGCGGTTGCAGGCCAAGAGATTAGTCTTTAGCTGTACCCACTCTGCATCTCGCTCCATCCAGTGCACAGTGACACCAAGGAATCCCCTCATCTTTCAATCAGACCAAATGTCCACAGTGACTGAAACATGGTCAGTGTTGCTCAATTGAGTTTTTAACTTTGACCGTCTCTCCTCAGCAAGGCTCTCTGTTTTTGTGGTCAGCGTTCGGCGACATACTGGGGTATACTTGCTGTCCAGCACAGCCAGAAAGTGACGAAAGCTCTTATTTTCCACAATAGACAGAGGGAAATTGCAATCAATAATCAAGTCAGACAGTATCGCATTGGAGATGGCCTTCTGCTGTGGGTGGGTCAGGCTGTAACGCCCTACACAAGTGTCAAGGAATTGTGAGATTGAAGGCTGTTGTGGTTCATCTACGATGATTTTGTTCATCTGGTATTCTTCATACCTGTAACAGAGAAGAATATGAAACAGATGTCAGAAAATCCTTTACAGCCACACATGTTGTATTTGAAACTACTCTTTACTCATATCAATGTTGTTGTGTTAATATTCATTGCCTATTGTACACTACGGTTTACGATAATACATTTCAGTGTCAGTGTATGCAATATTAAGAATATTTTCACTGCTTCAAAATTCATAAGAAAGCCCTTTCCCTCAAGAAACTGAAGTCATATGCTTTATAGCAGTGGTTTTCAAAGTGGGGACGGGGACCCTTGGGTGCCGCGAGGGGGTTCTAGGGGGGCCATGGCAAGTTGGCATGAAAAGTATAGAAAAACAAAATAATTGAATAAATTAAATAACTAAAGTAAACCAAATTAAACCAAAAATAAGCTAAACAATATTCCCATTAGTTAAGAACTGCACTATAATAATCTATTGCATCTCTGAACATTACTACTATAATCGTTATTATTTTATTATATACTGTATATATCCCAGTGGTGCGCTGCCTCACAGACCTACTGTAGACTACGGTAGCACTCTGTCCATGCGCTGTCTGCTGTTTGGGCATGATATGAAAAGGGAAGGCTAATGGTGGATCTACTGTGACTGTGTTATCATTTTCCTCTTTACAATGTATACGTCTTACTATGTTTCCTGTTGTACTTGGATGGGTTTAGGGATGCACCAACTACATCCGAGTTGTGAAAGGGGGTGCATTCATTGTTTAATTGTGATATTTTGTCTTCAGCGACAGTTCAGCTTAGTTGTGATTAACCAAAATTACATAAACGACCTCAATGAGGCAGCACACCAGCAACTCTGAAACTGAATTCTAAAACGCTTAACGTGAAAAACGCTTAACGTTGCTTAATGCTTAATATACTAAGACAGTAATATTATAAGACCAAACTCTGCAAATATCATATTAATAAAGCATACTATGTACAAAACATCAGATGAGCCCAGAATACATAGTAGCCTACATAAGACATGTTAAGCCTTTTCTTATAATGGTTTTCTATGGGAGGAAAACACTTAACGTGTTGTTAAACGTGTTTGCGTTCATATTCTGGCCTCATCTGATGTTTTGTACATTTAGTATACTTTATTAATATGATATTTATAGTTTGGTCTTTTAATATTACTGTCTCAGTATATTAAGACACGTTAAGCCTTTTCTTATAATAGTTTTCTATGGGAGGAAAACGCAACGTGTTATTAAACGTGTTTGCGTTCATATTCTGGGCTCATCTGATGTTTTGTACATAGTATACTTTATTAATATGATATTTACAGAGTTTGGTCTTTTAATAACACTGTCTTAGTACATTAAAGAACGTTAAGCGTTTTTCACGAAAGCGTTTTAGAATGTCCATATAATAGCAGTTCAAAAATCCATATTTTTGTAAGCATGAACCAGCAAGGGAGACGTGCGTTTGTCTCGTTGATACAGTAAATATGCAGCAGCTAGCTAGTAAGTTACGGTACATCCGATAAGGTGCGTAGCATTCGTTCAAAACTTATCTTTCTTTGTGCAACTTCAGGTGTCGAACAAAGTTGGACGTTGTGGCAGCTCCGTCTGTAATCTTCGATCCGCATGTTTTGCAGATTGCAACTCGTTTTTTGTCGACTACCTCGTAATTTTTATAGCCAAACCAAACTATCTTCGGTATCATTTTGACAACTGGCGCGTTGTTGCTTGATGTGCTTCATTGGTTGTCTTGCAATGTGCCTGCTTAGATGCTGTCGAATCAAAACAACGTGGGACTACAGTGATTGGATAACGTGCAGGCAGCGCGCGCTCTCTGTATGCATACAGGTGGATGGTGCACATTTTTTTCACAGATGCAGATAAACGGAGAGCGGCGCGGCCGTGTGAAAATGTTTTTCCCCAGTTTTCATGGGAAGTAGCAAGTCTTCTCGAGTCATAAGGCGCAAGTCCAAGTGAAGTCACGAGTCATTGATGTTAAAGTCCAAGTCGAGTTGCAAGTCTTTGTACATTTTGTCGAGTCGAGTCTGAAGTCATCAAATTCATGACTCGAGTCTGACTCGAGTCCAAGTCACATGACTCGAGTCCACACCTCTGGTGCTTCGGTAGCGTGGGTAGGCCACAGGCGTATCTCTAATGTTACCGCGCGTTCTGGTAATATAGTGCTAGCAAAGAGAATGCCGAATGGGTTTGAATGTGAGATGTCCCTAGTAACCACCTTCCTGTAGTGTATGGGATCCTGTTGTGTGCTTAAAACAAGTATAAGAACGGTTAGCTTTGCACTATATGCTAAGCTAACAAAGGGAGAGCAGCCATTTTGTTTTTCCTGTGTCACGTTGAAATCCCCGTCTTGGCCGACGGAAGTCCCGCACCTCGGTACTCCCGTTCGAGTTCAGCTTTCTGCGATTAGTGACCCCTAGTGGTGAAGAAGCGCAAGTATTTATTTTATGAAAAGAAATATTCTATCTGAGGGCAAAACGTGTTCTTATAGTGTAACTGGCTGGATATCATAAATGTAGCCCCTAATCTCAACTGATTGGATATCATTGTCTCATTCAATTGAATAAGTTAAATTGCCGAACATACCTTTTCAGGTTGATCATTTGGATAAGATCCAAATTGATTTGGTTCAACAAAGGAGACAAAATTTAAACTTTTCCATATTAACCTAGATAAAGCAACGCTTTCAGGTAAATTAAAGTTGAATTACCAGATAGCCTATACAGGTATGATTAATCATTAACATTGATTAATCAATCCAATTTGCTTTTGCAAATTCATTCACGTCCAACTCCCACATTACTGATGCAGTAGTGATGGTTCATTATTGTCTATAAATAGATTAAAATCATTTTTGCAGCATCCAACAACTCAAAACTCAAACTTTGAAAAAAAAAAACACAAAAAAATGCTTTAATAGCAAGCTATCAGAGGGGGTGGTCCCCACTCCCCCGCTAATTAGTGAACCCTCACCCATAAAAGGATTGATCGCTGACCTCCGCAGCGATACCAACCCTAATTATGCCATTAGCGGAAAAACTGCAGAAATTGCGACAAACGCTCTCCAAAATCAACCATTGGGCGCAGGCCTTGTAAAGGTTCTCTCCAGTTTAGCCCTGATGTATCGCCATCAGAGATTGGCATCGGTCCAATACCCCAGTGCACAGCTGAAGCACGAGCAAGAAATGGTTGATATGAAGGGACAGGTGTAAAGAACCAGAAAACTAATGACAAAAGCAGATGAGGAAAACATTCTGTTAACCGAGGAACTGCGTTTGAAAACTGAACAATTAAAAGTAATTGCAAAAACTTATGACGACGAACAAGCACAAACTCTTCAACAAAATCGTCTTCTACAGGAACAACTCGATTTAGCCAAAACTAAATACGCCAAACTAGACAAATCTGACGAGTTATCTGCAAACAGGAGCGCGCAATTTGATAACATAAATGCAGTTTTGATTAACGTTACTCAAAGCAATAATGTTCTAGTCCAAATGCTGCACACCAAAGATGATCAGTTAATGAACACCATGACCAAGTAGGATGACAAATTAGCAAAACGCATTGAAGTCGCTGAACAAAAGAATGATGTGAGAACTCAGGTGATGAAGATGGAAATATTGATTTCTAAGCAAGCTGAGGAAATCTCATCACTGAAACTCTCGCTCCGTACTCAAGCCCTCTACCCGCAAACCATGTTTATTTTTTTATTTTATTTTTATTTCACCTTTATTTAACCAGGTAAGCCAGTTGAGAACAGGTTCTCATTTACAACTGCGACCTGGCCAAGATAAAGCAAAGCAGTGCAATAAAAACAACACAGAGTTACATATGGGGTAAAAAACATAAAGTCAAAAATACAACAGAAAATATATATACAGTGTGTGCAAATGTAGCAAGTTATGGAGGTAAGGCAATAAATAGGCTATAGTGCAGAATAATTACAATAGTATTAACACTGGAATGCTAGATGTGCAAGAGATTATGTGCAAATAGAGATACTGGGGTGCAAAAGAGCAAAATAAATAACAATATAGGGATGAGGTAGTTGGGTGGGCTAATTTCAGATGGGCTGTGTACAGGTGCAGTGATCGGTAAGGTGCTGTGACAACTGATGCTTAAAGTTATTGAGGGAGATAAGAGTCTCCAGCTTCAGAGATGTTTGCAATTCGTTCCAGTCATTGGCAGCAGAGAACTGGAAGGAATGGCGGCCAAAGGAGGTGTTGGCTTTGGGAATGACCAGTGAGATATACCTGCTGGAGCGCAGACTACGGGTGGGTGCTGCTATGGTGACCAATGAGCTAAGATAAGGCGGGGATTTGCCTAGCAGTGATTTATAGATGGCCTGGAGCCAGTGGGTTTGACGACGAACATGTAGTGAGGACCAGCCAACAAGAGCGTACAGGTCACAGTGGTGGGTAGTGTATGGGGCTTTGGAGACAAAACGGATGGCACTGTGATAGACTACATCCAATTTGCTGAGTAGAGTGTTGGAGGCTATTTTGTAAATGACATCGCCGAAGTCAAGGATCGGTAGGATAGTCAGTTTTACGAGGGCATGTTTGGCAGCATGAGTGAAGGAGGCTTTGTTGCGAAATAGGAAGCCGATTCTAGATTTAACTTTGGATTGGAGATTCTTTATGTGAGTCTGGAAGTTGAGTTTACAGTCTAACCAGACACCTAGGTATTTGTAGTTGTCCACATACTCTAGGTCAGACCCGTCGAGAGTGGTGATTCTAGTCGGGTGGGCGGGTGCCAGCAGCGTTCGATTGAAAAGCATGCATTTAGTTTTACTAGTGTTTAAGAGCAGTTGGAGGCTACTGAAGGATTGTTGTATGGCATTGAAGCTCGTTTGGAGGTTTGTTAACACAGTGTCCAATGAAGGGCCAGATGTATACAAAATGGTGTCGTCTGCGTAGAGGTGGATCTGAGAGTCACCAGCAGCAAGAGCGACATCATTGATATACACGGAGAAAAGTGTCGGCCCAAGAATTGAACCCTGTGGCACCCCCATAGAGACTGCCATAGGTCCAGACAACAGGCCCTCCGATTTGACACACTGAACTCTATCTGAGAAGTAGTTGGTGAACCAGGCGAGGCAGTCATTTGAGAAACCAAGGCTATTTAGTCTGCCAATAAGAATGCGGTGGTTGACAGAGTCGAAAGCCTTGGCCAGGTCGATGAAGACGGCTGCACAGTATTGTCTATTATCAATCGCGGTTATAATATCGTTTAGGACCTTGAGCGTGGCTGAAGTGCACCCGTGACCAGCTCGGAAACCGGATTGCATAGCGGAGAAGGTACGGTGGTATTCGAAATGGTCGGTGATCTGTTTGTTAACTTGGCTTTCAAATACTTTCGAAAGGCAGGGCAGGATGGATATAGGTCTGTAGCAGTTTGGATCTAGAGTGTCACCCCCTTTGAAGAGGGGGATGACTGCGGCAGATTTCCAATCTCTGGGGATCTCAGACGTTATGAAAGAGAGGTTGAACAGACTAGTAATAGGGGTTGCGACAATTTCGGCGGCTAGTTTTAGAAAGAAAGGGTCCAGATTGTCTAGCCCAGCTGATTTGTAGGGGTCCAGATTTTGCAGCGCTTTCAAAACATCAGCTGTCTGAATTTGTGTGAAGGAGAAGCGGGGGGGCATGGGCAAGTTGCAGCAGAGGGTGCAGAGTTGGTGGCCGGGTTAGTGGTAGCCAGATGGAAAGCATGGCCAGCTGTAGCTGTTGAAATTCTCGATTATTGTAGATTTATCGGTGGTGATAGTGTTTCCTAGCCTCAGTGCAGTGGGCAGCTGGGAGGAAGTGCTCTTATTCTCCATGGACTTTACAGTGTCCCAAAACTTTTTGGAGTTAGTGCTACAGGATGCAAATTTCTGTTTGAAAAAGTTAGCCTTTGCTTTCCTGACTGCTTGTGTATATTGGTTCCTAACTTCCCTGAAAAGTTGCATATCGCGGGGGCTATTTGATGCTAATGCTGTACGCCACAGGATGTTTTTGTGCTGGTCAAGGGCAGTCAAGTCTGAGGAGAACCAGGGGCTATATCGGTTCTTAGTTCTGTATTTTTTTAATGGGGCATGTTTATTTAAGATTGAGAGGAAAGCACTTTTAAGGAACAACCAGGCATCCTCTACTGACGGAATGAGATCTATATCCATCCAGGATACCTGGGCCAGGTCAATTAGGAAGGCCTGCTCGCTAAAGTGTTTTAGGGAGCGTTTGACAGTGATGAGGGGTGGTCGTTTGACCGCGGACCCGTTACGGACGCAGGCAATAAGGCAGTGATCGCTGAGATCCTGGTTGAAGACAGCTGAGGTGTATTTAGAGGGTATGTTAGTCAGGATGATATCTATGAGGGTACCCATGTTTACGGATTTAGGGTTGTACCTGGTAGGTTCGTTGATAATTTGCGTGAGGTTGAGGGCATCTAGCTTGGATTGTAGGATGGCTGGGATATTAAGCATATCCCAATTTAGGTCACCAAGCAGTACAAGCTCTGAGGATAAATGGGGGGCAATCAATTCACATATGGTGTCCAGGGCACAGCTGGGGGCTGAGGGGGGTCTGTAGCAAGCGGCAACAGTGAGAGACTTATTTCTGGAAAGGTG